AATATTTTAGATTATTTGTTTACTTATAAATATTGATATGAGATATCAATCATCATCAATAACAATTATTCCTCCATCCACTGGGTCTTCTTGTCTAAAAAAATAATTCTAATATATTTTCTACATCAATACAATGGTATATAACACATGAAAAGATACATACTTAAATTCTTTATTAAGTTTTTCAAATTCTTCTGTCATAGTGTTTATTAATTCTGGTACCAAACACACTAATGATGCCTTATAAATTTCTTTTACTAATGCCTGGGAGCCATACATGTATTCAAAGCGAATGCAGTCAATCCACACACCTATATATATAAATATATATATATATATATATATAATATGAATTATTAGTATTAGTTAGCTTTAAGAATAGACAAATAAAATAACTAACAGCAAAGTTACAAAGAAATTAAAAATTAAACATTTTCTGAATGTTTCACAAGTAAGAAATTGAATAAATAAAATATAAAAAAAAAATTACAGTTTTAATGATAGATAAATTACTCTAAATTAATACCTACTTACCAATATCTTTTTGACCAAACGCATTACATGTGTCATTATATAATTTCCTTATAGAACCTAATTTAGTATTTGATGAAGATTGAGATTTTTCATATGAAATCATAGATGTATACAATTCTTTACATTCTGGTTCCATTTCTTTTAACTCATTAAATAACTCTCGAGTAGAAAGTATGCCATTATGAAGTACACACCATTCTAAATATTGAGGTCTGATATATAAATTGATTTCCTTATATGGATAACGTGCCCCTTCTTGATACAACTGTTTAAGCTACATAAAGACAACAATATAAATAATTAATTTATTAACTGACTCTTTATGATCCTACATATCATAACATTACATTTTTAACCTTATATATTTAATGGATATACTTACCAATTTTGGGTGAGTATTTTGCATGTACAAGATAACAATTTGCCATAAGGGCAATGATCTGTTTGTCAAAGCCCTAACACCAGCTTGAAACACTTCAATTGCCATTTCAAGACTGTCAAAATCCACAAAGTATGATAATAATTTTACCCAAATTTCTACATTGTCTTTTACAACACCAACTGCTTCAATTAGAATCATATGACAATCCTTATTTGTGTTATTAGCCTAAAAAATATCATGATAGAAATTGCATTTTGATGAATTTAATGTCAAGCTTAAGATTCCAAACAACTCACCACATCCAGATAATCATAATTAGAACCGACCCACAAATAAAATTATATATCACCAACAAAGCAAAGTATATAAGACTGACATAGAAATTGATAAACATTATTCATAAAAACTAAAGAGAGAAAAAAATAAATGAGACAGAAAAACTAAAAATACATTAGATCACAACACATTGATATTCATAATATCCATAGTAAGTTACCCAGACCCCAATCATGAAGAATTTTAATTCAATTATAAAATGAGCCTAATATTTTATAGAAGCAAAAGTTTTATTGAAATCTACAAAAATGATGTTAACTTGGGATTGCAGGAATGTCTTAAACACAAAATAACTAAAAAATTGTCGAAGAAATACTTATTTCTCCTCTATATTAAAAGAATAATATGAACACAGGCACTTAAATGAAAAAAAAATTCAAAGATTTTCACAAAGTGAGATTGAAATAAGTTTAGAAGTAGAAATTGGTTTGTATTTTGAGAGTACTAAATGACTGCCAAATTTAAGAATCAGAGTTTATCATAACTAAGTTTCAGCACATAAAAGAAAACAACTTCACGTAAAGATACCCTGAAAAAAATCCAAAGAAAATAAGCAACAAAATACTTTAAATGAAATAATAGAAAATAACTAGAAAGACTATCATCAACCATGAAGGAAACATTGGTGGGCAAGTCAAAACATGAAATGCCAAAAAGCCAAAATTAAATTCAATTACAACAAAAAACATAGAAAAGTCAATAATAGGTCAGCAAGTACCTGTTTATCTGACAAGACTGACAAAAAAAATTGCTTATGAATATCATTAATTGAGCATTTAAAAAAAAATGTATAGTAATTAAATGATTTTTTTTAAATTTTTGTTTTTAATGGATATTATACAATTTAAAATAATGAGGTACTCATAAAAAATACTAGATTGGAAAACAGAAACTTGCAACCTCTGCTGCTGCAAGACATTTTATAATTGAACGATACCAACACCAACAACTCTACCGAACAAATGCTTGTATACATTGAGATAAAATTAATAAACTTATAAAAACATTTTATTTAATTTTTTTGCACATTTTAATAAATTGATAAACCGATAAAAAAAAATATATATTTATATACATTTTATTGGCATTTCAGTACGTTCAGTAATTATTTCAGAAAGATGGTTTATACCCAATAAATATAATGTTCCGCTTTGCGTAATGCCTTGTTATCATGTGCTTCCTGAAATGCCCGTTCCATAGTCTCATTCATAAAATTTCTTATTGTTTCTTTTTTCATACGATAAGATTTTCGAATTTCTATCACGTGATCGATATAAAAATTCCACAGGTTATGTTTGTTTGCTGGTGGTAAATTTTCTTTCAACCCATCTTCATATGTTTTAATACAATTCCTTTAAAAATTAAATAATTATATTTTGAAACCATCCACACTTTTTATAAAGGTTACCTTATTCCACTAATATAATTTTTGTCATAATGCAATTGTTCTGTTTCGTGGTGATATATAAATCCATCAAAATGAATTTTAGCTAATTTTTGCCACATATATTCACTGTGTCTGTAATTTTTTACCATATCTCTGAAATATTACAAAAAAAAATTAAAAAAAATAATAATTACTCCTAAATAATTTTTTTTTTACATTAGTATTAATTTTCCAGCAATCTGTTTCTAAAAGAAATAATAAGCTAGATTGATAAATTATAAATGCATAGGAAGTATAAATTGAAAATACCTCCCAATGGAGGTACTTTGGTTAAAGAATTAAATAATTTAATAATTGATCTACACCTGACAACATTGCATTGCAATTCCCTAACTGCACTTAATTGGATTGCTTTGTCCAAGAGTATAAAATGAAATTCCATATCCCCTTCAAACCGTTTTATAAGGTGTCTGTATTTTCCAATTGCAGTTGGAAGTGAAGCACCTGCGGTCTTTTCTAAATGCTGAACTTCTACCCAAAATTCTTCTACGTACAAGCTTTTACAATTTGAATGATATTTCAATCCTTCTGCGAAATACCGCCTTGCAGTTTCAACGTCATTTCGATCGTCAAATTCATATGTTGCTGCAGTTATGTATACTTCAGGATCAGTGTGATACCTTGCCATAAGTGTATCCAACATTTTGCTACATTTAGTAATGAATAATTTCTGAAATTAAACATGTTTATTTCAAGTTTAACAAGTAGGTATAATATAAATAAGTTAAAACAAACAAATTTTTTATCATAATAAATTAATTTTTGTTTATAATATGATATAATACGTAAAAGTGCAAAATTCACTTTTTATGTAATTATTTATTAATTAAGTATATTCAATAATTTACTTACATTATTTGAACAGAACTCAATATATTCTGATAATGTTGTTTTTTCAACGGGAAACAATATAAACATATTATTATACATATCATTGATACGATTTGAAAAGATGGTAAGCACTTCAGTGTTGATATATCCTGTATCATTTTCTTTCATTTCTTGCTGTAAAAAAAAATTAATATAATTAATAAACTTACCATATAATCATGTTTTAATTATAATTTGTAACCATACATCGATTTTGAGTTGACACGTATCCATCAAAATCAATTCGGCTTTTATTTGCTTCACCAATTCCTCCCTGCTAACTATCTTGTGTGATATCTTATGGCTGATAATTTTTCGTTCTTCATTTAGTTTTCTTCAAAATAAAATAAATTTCAAAAAATTACAATTTATACAAGAGATAATTTCCTGACATAGCTTATGACACTGATTCTTACACAAGTTCATCCCATTTCATTATGCTGTAGGTTTTCATAAAATGAATTTCGGGATCGTCTTCATCTAATGACATGATTTTAGAATTTATTATAAATTTAATACACAATAGTAATTGAAATTAAACGTTGTATGCAAGATTCGACGTGTGCAAAACGATCACTGTTTCATTGCTAAGTAGCAATAAAACTTATATATTTGAAAGAGTCATTATAAACATGAGATAGCAGTAAACACCAATTAAATACAAATACGTTTGGGAAAAACATGAAGACATCAATAATATAATCGGTACACAAGTACTGTTTAATACTGTAATACCAAATGGCATGATATGTTGAATACTAATCTAGCAGAACGAGCAAAAATAAAAAAACAAAATGATAAAAAAAAAAAGCCATTCAGCAGACAGTAGCGAAACAATAATTAATGAAAGGGCGGATGCTTTGAATTAAAAATATATTCTATCTAATGAATGGTATTCTAAAATATCAACTACTGTGATGCACGGGAGTGGTATATTTTTTTTTACATGGCATGATCGCTGATCAATTGAGTTTCAAATTGATAATAATTAGTAGACCGCGATTAGTAGAAGCTTGCCGGCAGCCCGTGAAATTGAACAGTCAATGGCACGACAATTAAAACACAATACCAATGGGGCTTACAACAAGAGTGCAGACTCGTATGACACATAACTGACAATCATTCTCGAATAATAGAAGATGCGCTGTGCCGAATAATACGGAGTGTATTCCGGCCGTACGTTTAATAATATTAATTATTATGTCATGTGCCCGAATCCGGAGACCTTTATGTCGTGTACATATGTCGCGAGAACGTTATTACACGCGCGTAGGGTTGGCAACGCTGGAATATAGGGCAGTTCGATAATGATAAGAATAATTAATATCGGACCGAAAGCATAATTTCTATACCTATATGTTTTCAATTTGTAATATTTGAATACTAAATACTTCAACAATTTCAATTTACTGTTGTTTTGCGTGGAACGTAGGAAATTAATAATAATTTACTAATTCCCCTAAAATGTAATCGGTTACAAAATAACGAAATTCGTTTGGTTTTACCGGCCACACTGGTTACAAACTACAAATCTCGCTTCCCAGGTATCGATCAGTGACTTTCCATCATCCCCTCTTGAAATTTTATTTTTCCTCGTTAAACAATGGCGTCTAGAACATGTCATCGTTATTATCGTAACCGTTTTAGTGGTTATTGCTGTCGTTATATCGTTGTCTATCGTACAAAATGGGTATCTTCTTATTATTTTGCAACAATAGGAGGGGATAAATCATGTATAAATTAATATTTTTACCGCTGTCACCGCTTTACCGGTTAAGTACTATGAATTGTAACCGTAACTACTAAAATGGTTTACTATTAATTTATGACCGGTGACCCTGAACGAATTTGTGGCTAATATGCCAACACAGATATATATTATGATATATTTATTAATATTATGCATACATATATTATAATATGTATATATATATATTATATATATCAGTGTATGCGATCAAGGCAGGTTTTCGATGTCCGATGACGATTCTTATCATTTTTCGAACTAGTGTGAAATGTCATTCACCGAGTGGATACATAAAATATATTTATTATTAAGCCGTGTTTCGAATACACCGTGCATAAATCTACGTCTTCTGATTGAACGGTTTGGTTGATACCATGTACTACTTGATTCACTCAATCAGAATACGTAAATTTAAAAATTTATATTTTATGTATTATTAATTAATATTTATAATTTATTGATAACATAAATAATTCCTAAATACAGATATTTTTTTGGAATTATGAAAAATTAAATATAGCAATATATTTGGTAAATTTGTTTGAGTCAAGTACCTACAGAATAAAAATGTAAATTATTTTATGTACGATTCTTTATCTTATTTTTTTTTAGACCTAACACGCATAAAATTAGGAGTCTTTGTTTTTTTATAAAAATATATTGTACCTAGCTATTGAAAAAAAATATGAATAATGATAATAATAAAATTAATTAGAGCATAATACAATTGTTATTAAAATTGATATTGTAAAACAATAATAGCCCACTTTCAATTTTTATATAATGGTAATTGGTAAATATAAAATATGTTGTATATAATATAGTATATCATGTTACATACAAATTCCGGAATTTTATATTATGCAATGTGTACAGTGATTTTTGGAATACCGAAAAAAAGAACAACAACTTTAAAATTTTAAACATAGTATTTCATTGTTACAAAAAAAATATATTATAATTTATATTGTAACGTTTTGAAACTAGTGACTTTTGACAGACTAAATTTATTTCACTTAAATAATAGCATGAAAGTATGAAAAGGTCTACATAAGTAATTTCCAGTAATAAAAATGCATTTTACTTTATATTATACCACTAGTTATATTATATTTAGTATATAAAATATACCTACCATATAATGTATAAAGAATAAAAGATATATCGCAACCACTCATTATTTTGAAAAGTTTTAACTTTTTGAAAATATTTTTGTTCACAAAATGTTTAATAATTAAAAAACCGAAATTTTTCAAAAGAAATTTATTTTTTAAACTTCAATATTTTAAAAAATTATATTAAATAAAAATATATTAAATATTCGGGAAGATTCCTGATTTCCCGACAGGCCAATCCGCTCCCGTGTATAATACTATGTAAGGATCTATGGTACTCTATTCCGTAATAGTTTGGTAAAATGTACGACGTAAAGGCGTCTTTGTTCGCGCGGGTGGGGCACATGCGTTGCCAGCGGTGAACATTGTTGTCGACCGACCCGTCAAAACAACGAATATACGTAGTGAGCTATATTATCAAAACACTCCGTACTCCGCGAGTACGAACTCATAGATAATAATAATATATTATCTATGCACGAAGTATACCACGATCACTGTTGTAGGTGAGAAGTTGGGGGAAGGTAGGATATTGAAGGGAATTTAATGTATACCTGTAAGCAACGATAAACCATTATTAACGAAAAAAACGATTCTGAGCGGAATTCAGTTGATAGTGATGCTTTTGTTAACAATATTTATGCCATATTATAGTAAAATAATTAAATAGGCTCTATATATTTTCTTTAACAATATTTGTTTAATGTTGTATCTATTTCCCCTGTTTTCATATGTTTTTCCATAGTTTTTCACATTTGCCGGGAAAACCCTCAAGTTACCCTACCCAATGAGATTTCCTTTCAAAAAAAGTGCTGTCATTGTTAATCGGAGCAAAACTGCTGGTAGAAAATTTGTCCACAGAAAACAAAAATCGTAATATTTTTCTAATATATTTCGTATATTTTCCTGGTTTTCCTTCGTTATTTTTTGTTTTTTCATATTTGATGTGAAAAATCCTGAGAAAATCGAAAAATAACCTTCTTAAAGTACCACCCCAAAAAAATTTTCTTTCAGAAAAAAGTCCACATCGTATACATCGGAATAAGCTTTCTTACCGAAAAAGTGTTCACATAAAAAAAAAATTCTTTGTAAAACCAATACATTCTTCGCTACATTACGAATCTAAAATAACTATTATTTTAGTTTCATGGATTTTATTTTATTTCGCAATGTGACCAGTGGTTGTTGTACACATCCCGAATTATATAACATATATCAGTATTCTACCGGGTTATTCTTTTATCGTTTAACATTAATTATTTCGAAAAGTATAGACTATTTTTGAATGTTATTTTTTTGAAAACTTGAGAAACAAATAGTTCTAAAAATGTTAAATCATCATTTTATTTGTCACCCTTATTTTTACGGGTGAAACGACTATCTACTTTTGATTATCAAACGACAAACTATTTTGAAAATGCGTTGAATAGATGGAGTATTAATTAAAATACATTTTAGTGTTGATATTTTTGATTTCCGTCAATCCATTGACGAGATATTAGACTTTTAAGTTTGAGTCTAGAGGAGAGTAATGGTGTAAATTTTAAAACGCGACACAATTGATACTCCACTACTCTCTGTGACCCTAACTTAAAAGTGGAATATCTAAGAATACTTTCTGAGATAATGAACGTTTAATGACAAAATAATCACTCGGTATAAAACACGGACCAAGATATGCAAAACTGGACAGTTGACACAAGCGTTTTAATCGTGCCCATACTCCATCAAATGTTATAAAGTAGGTAGTGTACAGGAAATATTTTGCTTTTATGTTATTTACTGAACAATAATATTATGTCTATATTATAAACATTGTATATAATATCACGCATGGTCTAGGGGAATAGTCAAGGACTAGGGGTCGGCATCGGAAATTAAAAATATTTAAGTAATATTTTATTTAATTATTAATTATGTTGATTGAAGTTTGGACAACTTTCTTTTCTTTGAACAGTTTTTTATTATTATTCTCTATTATATGTTATTGTATATTACTTCATTCTCATCACAATGTAGTTTTGGAAAATAACTATGATAATAACTATAATATTATATAATATTTGTTTTTATAGAAGAAAGCATATAGCATAATATATAACAGGTATGTATGACATATGTAGTAGTACATAGATAGGCCGCTTTAGCGCTAGCGTCGATAAGATAAAAATAACCTCTGTGCACAGCCCTCTCTATATCAATTCGTGGACAACCACCTCACATCCTTCTGTCTATACGTGATAGAAAGCAAATATAGGGGCACTTTTACTAACGGGGCCACTGTCTATGCTGATATTTGATAATAAATTTCGCAATGTCAACTATTAACGTAATTTGTTTTTTATAAATAACTGAATTTATTTTATTTGATTTCATCAAATAGAGAAAAAAATGTTTACTTGATTGAGGGTACGCAAATAATGAAATGTAACCACATTGTTGAATTTGTTCACATAGCATAATATTATATGACTATTTCTATTTCCTATAATTGTATTTATCATAACTATAATAAATAAATGTATAACAGACATGGGAAAGCCAGGGGGAAATGTCCCCCTCCTTACCAGCACTAATGGACGCCCATGAAGATATGTATGTCTTCATATTTACTTATTACTCAAACTTATCAACTCTTTGGGCTACAGGTATGTCTAAATCCAAAGATTATAATCTTATAAAGTCATAAAAACCTGATATTATTAATAGTATTCGAGAATAAATGACAATTGGAAAAAAACAAAACATTAAACTGTAACATAAAAAAAGACGAACATACTTCGCACGATGGGTGGACCACTGCTGTAGATAAGAAGTTGAGAAGATAAGAAATAGAAGGGAATTTAATATACATATGTAAGCAAAGATTAATCATTGCTAACGAAAAACGATTCGGAGAGGTGCTCGGTTAATAGTAAGTATTGCTTTTTTAACAATATACAGGGTAATTTACTAAGCGTTCTTACACCATTTTTTTGGTTAAATTTTGCATATATTCAAATTTTGATTTTTGGAATTTTTAAATGTATATAAAGTCGATATTTTTAAATAATTTTTTATCCTGTGGTAATACCATCTTTGGTTTTTCAAATGAGAACCTATATTAAAAAATCCATAAATAGATGGAATACTTAAAATTAATTTTGGTGTCAACATTTTTGATTTCCGTCAACCCGTTAACAAGATATTCCACTTTTATATTTTAGTAGGGAGGTAGTAGCAACCTAAATTTATTCAACACTTTATGAAAATGTTTTTTTTTTTATTAATATATGAATTGTGGGTACGCACTGTTTAGTTATAACTTGTATATACGAGG